CCCCCCCCTCCTGTTCGTCTTTTTCCCCAACCTTCATTCTAGTTTTGTCTACCCGCTCATATTTTGCCTCTCCAACCCTCATGACTAAGAATAAAAAGAAAAAGAAGAAGAAAAGGGGAGCTATTGGATCTTGTAAAAATCACAATTATTGACCTTTTGAAAAAGCTTAAAATTTTGATTTTGATATTCCATAACCTAGAAAATTAATTTGAATTTGTGATTATTGTTGAATAAAAATTTACTAAAAATATGCTGAAAATTTGGTGATTAATTTTGATAAAATTCAAAAAACACCATTAACAAATTTAAAGCTTTGAGTTTGAACTTGAATTTGAAATTTGTATAAGAATTTGTGATGAATATTGTTAAAGCTTGTTAAAAATCAGCAAAGAATTGAATCGGTAGTTTGGGAAGAAGGTGCTTGTGGTGGAAGAGTCGGTGGTAGTATGGTGGTGGTGAAGAAGATGATGGGGTTGGGAAGATGAGAGAGGGGGTTTCTTTTCTATTTTTTTTTTTTTGGGAAGATGAGGAGGGGGAGGGGGGCTTTTTCAGTTTTTCTTTTTTTTCTCGATTTATGACACGTGTCAGATGCTGATTGGCGCGTGTAACAGAAATTTTTAAGCCGATGTGGTCAAACACCGAAGTGGTGTGTAATTGACACACTTTTAAAAGTTTTGGTGTATAATACTATTCCCGCATTTAACAGGTGTGTAAGAGGGATTTAGGTACAAGGTCGATGGGTAAAATATGTATTTTGCCTTTATTTTGACGATGGTTCCCTAACAACTATTTTCACCTAGTTACCTCAACAGAAGCGTGTACATACCTTCAGGACTCGTTTGGCATGAGGGCTAAAGTATAATACTATAATTAATCTCGGAATTAAATTTGAGATGAGTTTATTTTATATTTTGATGGGATTATGGTGTTTTTTTTACTTGAATTATAGTGTTTTTTTATCCTTATAAAAAAATAAAATAATTAATCCTGAAATAACTCCCGAGATAATTAATCCTGGAATAACTTGTTTCCCAAATAACCCTAACATTTCTCAATATGTACCTATTGAACACAATAATTTATCAGTAAAAAAAAGAGTTAATACCCTAAAATATCCTAAATTATCTTGTTTTTGTTAGTTTACTACTTAAACTATTCGGTCCCCAAAACTCCCTGAACTATATTGTCCTTCATATTAAAAAATCTCTTATTGCATTTTTAGAGGTGCGTCTAGTACACGTTCTCAATTATCTAAAAAAAAGTGCCATGTACCACTACATGTGGCTTTTTAACTCAGCCTAAAACCCGCCTAAACTATCATTTTTTTTGTCAGTTACTTACTTAAACTATCTGGTACCCCCATAATCCCCATGAACTATATTACCCTATATATTAAAACCCAATGTACCACTACACAAAATAAAATTTCGCAAATAAAAAATTAGTTGGCCGGCAATTACATTCTCTAATTTCATACTACATAAAGAAGTTTCAAGAGATTCAACCTTATTCTCTACAAGGTGTTGAGTTTAATGAGTTTTTAACAATAGACTAAAACAAGAAAGAGAATAAATCATTTCAGAGAAAACAAGAGAGGGGGAATTTTTTTCAAAGGAACCATATGGAGAACCGAAGAAAAAAGGTTAAAAAATGACGAAGAAAGTGAAAAATAAAGAAGAAAGGTGAAATATTAGAATGAATAGTGAAAAAATGAGGAAGAAAGGTGGATATAACTAAAATAAGGAGAATATCTATTTAAAAAATAAATTTGAAAGAGGGTTAGATTAATTAGCCATTATTTTCTGTCAGGTGAGCTATTTTGATGGTTTTTTTAGCTGCCACGCGCTCTCAAACGAGTATTTACATAATATGAAGGGCAATGTAGTTCAGAGAAATTTTGGGGACAGCGAATAGTTTAAGTAGAAAACTAACAAAAATATAATAGTTTAAAGGGTTTTAGGGAAGGTGTGTGGAATGTTAGAAGATAATTTTTATATCTTAAAAATAAAAATATAACATATGATTAATAGCTATTATTATAATATTATAGCTGACTTTTTATTAAATTCATACAAAACCATCTTTGATTAGCTATTAATGACTTTTGAATTCTTTTGTTCAAATTATTATTATCAACTAGTATTAGTACTATCGCGCGGGTAATTAAAAAGAACGACCTACACCATAAAGTTTAATATGTTAGTGTTAATACCATCTTTACAACCAAACATTAAAAATATTTTAAGACTCCAGTAAAACTTTCATTCCATCTCCTAACAAATGTTCCATAAAAATAATGATACTATACAATTTGTTTGATATGAACGTTCCACAAAAAATAATGATGCTATACAATTTGCTTGATATGTAGCACGTGCCTAAGGGAACATTTTTGTAGCAAATGCTCATGACATATTGCAGTACATTTTTCAGAAGTTGTCCTCTATATTGAAGTTTATCACTACAAAAAACATGGGTAAAAACTCAAGAATTCTGGTGAACCCCTATCACTAACATTTTGGAAAATTGAAAACCCAATTATGCGTAAGACACCTTACATTTCCTAATGCTTATATTGAAAGTACGAAAATCCCAATAGTTGCATGAATTCGATCTCCCTAAAATAAAAAATTTGAAAAGAAATTTAAGTTAGTAAGGCGCATAAGTTGAAGAAAATACATCACAACTCGAAAAAAATAACATGTAAAAGAGTATGCACCTTTTCATCTTGAATAATTAATTAAATTAAATTAGAATTTTTTGGTTTCTCGCGGTCTGGAATGTGCCATAATCTAACAACACGATCCTTCAAATCCCAACTCATTTTGGACATTAATATTTCGCTGATATAGTTATAGTTTGGAGCTATACTTTGTAGAAGTTTGTGTGGAAGCTAAACCCTAAGTAATGTAGAGAAGCCAAACCTAAGCAAAAGTTGTTTAAATAAAGATTTCTAAGGAAAGACAATCTAGTAAATCAATTTTTAAGTATATGAAATCCTAATATGTGTAAATCAGTTTGTATGAGTGAGTGCGCAAAAAATGATACGGATCTTCATTTTTTAGCTTTTGGCTTATTTTAATTTCAACGTATTTTTGTGGTTAATTAAAATTTGTTAATCACCAAGCCTTAATTTTTCTTATCTTTTTCCTTTGTCCTATTGTTCATTTTTCAATATTATTTCCTTTAATATAATATAGATGTAAGATACAAAACGTTTATTTAATTATTTCTTTCTTAAAAAAGAATACCTAGAATAACTGAATTATACACAAAATTTAATTAAAGATATATATTATAATGTATATTATTCGTAAATAAGATCAGATACAAAGCTTGTACTAAATATAGCATTATTAATTCAACTTAAAATTAATGTGTAAGATACAAAACGAAATTGTAATTGATTCTTTCTCAAAAAAAGGATACCTACCATAACTGAATTATACACAAAATTTAATTAAAGATACCTATAATTACAGTATATTGGTCTGCTTACGTCTTTTTTTTTTGTACGACCAAAAGATTCTACTTTGGTCATAAAAAAGAGAACATTTTAGTTTAATTAATTCTTTCTTAAATAATTCAATCTATTTTCTTTAGTATAATATAGATGTAAGACAAAATATTTATTTAATTAATTCTTTCTTAAAAAAGAATACGTACCATAACTGAATTATACACAAAATTTAATTAAAGATACTTATAGTAATGTATATGATACTTATATTAATGTATATGGTTCGCAAATAAGGTCAGATGCAAAGCTTGTACTAAATATAGAGTTATTATTTCAACTTAAAATTAATGTGTAAGATACAAAATAAAATTTAATTGATTCTTTCTCGAAAAAGGATGCCTACCATAAAAGAAATCCTTAATAGTATTACAAGTCGATGATCCTGTAATTTTGTATGGCAAGTGTGAGTAATCATATATTGTCATATCATAATGATCTTTTTCTTTTACTTATTTTTGGACTTTGGTCCATAACACGTTTTTAGAAAGAATTTTTTCTTTCCATTTTTATATCAGCAGAATATTTCATACCTTTTTCTCTTACCCATATTAACTCAAAGCATTAATTTTATATTTCAACAGAATATTTGTCATATGTAATATTACTCCAAATATGGTTATAT